ATACTTCATTGTGTAATATACTAAAGGTTTTTCACAGTGTTTGAGCAGGGCCAAAAATCTGCAGCTGAGAAATTTCCATGTAATATGCATTAGAAAAGTGTTACCCTAAACGAGTAATGGAAATTATTTCTGCTCCAGGAAGCAAAATGATGCTGAATGAACAAGAGAAGAGGGTTTTTCTGTGTCTCACCACAGCACAAGGTTGGGCCAGAACATGTTCCCACAACCTTTCAACCCATTCAGCACAGTCTGCAACTTTCTGACTATTTCTGCATATTGCACTCAATGATTAAGCGCTGGGGACTGTGATAATACATCCTTTCACCAGACACACACAACAGAATGCCATCTCAGCTGCTCCCGGACTGTTTTTCCAGTTACTCTTCCTAAAAATCAGATTATCAATAGATTATCCTTCTGATCATAAGGGCGTAAAACTTGGAGATGTGTTGTTCCTGGCTGGGACTCCATCTCTTAGTAATCAAATATTGTTCTTGTTGACAGTATGATCTCTTCATCTAACTGAAGCCTGTTGCAGGCTGCCTTTGCCTATAACACAAATGAAGTGGTTCCATGACTGCAGAATAACCACTGCAGGTGTGAAACAGGATGGCTATTAAATTGTACAAAGCTAGAGTACACAGTGCTTTCTCTAACACCCCCAGTTGTATAGTGGTACGTTAGCTTTGCTTAGCTTTCTCAGTCTCCTTACCAAATACATTATAGCACTTCTCGTGGTTTAAGCTTGGTAGAAAAAATAATTTCTGCTGTGAAAGATTTTTCCATCACTCAGCAAGACTGGGGCACTGTGACCCCCACTAGCACAGCAGAGTTGCCAGTACAAGAGTTAGCATCAAACCACTGTGGTTTGCCAAATTTGTTGACAGTGGAAGAGAGTTTTCTTTTCTGAGTTGAAGATCTGTAATGTAGCACAAATACATCATCAGAACCGGTCCTGTAATGCCGGCTGACAGCAGTCAAGGAGCAGCACATCCCTGGTGACTGATTGGCAGCCAACTGACAGCTAAATCACCTCCATTTCATGTTGCACCTGGTGAAGAAAGGAAAACAAAACCAAAATGACACTATTACCATCAGAGTAGAGAAGTACAAAGCACAGTAACATGGACAGGTACCAACAAGATCAGGTACCAGCCATTTGGTTCTCACCTGTTCAGAAGAGTATCTTCAGTATCTTGTACTCTTAAGGAGCCTTCATCCCTTGGACATGCAGGTGGCTCTTGCAGTGATGTGTGAATATAGGAGGCAAGAGGACCTTTGAGGACCTCCAGCATCAAGGAACATTTCAACATTAAGACCTAGGTCAGTAAATGGAGAGGAGTAATTGTGGGTAGCTAGGCTCTGGATCCTATCCTGTGCAGGTGAAGAGCCTCTACCTGGTGTCAGAACACAAGGCCACTGTGTAAGTTTTCCATACAGGTGTCTCTAAACAGGTTCAGGCCATGGAGCCACCACATTCTCAATGGGTCTCTGCAAGTCCAAGTGCTGCCTGATGGCGGATCCAAGGGTAGATGTAGTTGAGTTTCCATGCCTACCTTTTATCCTCCTTGCTAGATGCCCCACTTGGGCATCATCATCATATCATCATCAACACACTAGAAACCTTTTTTCATTAGAGGGAACTACAGAGGTTGAGTTAATGAGAATAAAAATCTCAGTTCTGTTCAGCTCTAGGAAAGGAAAGACTAGTGTCTTCAAGCAGAAGCCCTGGATGCTCTTCTGTAATGCTTGAAAGGCAGAACTCACTGGTTGTTCAAATCATCAGACAGATCAGTCTGTGAAAACATTTGCTGCTCTCCATGCCCTGTGCTGCAACACTTACACACTGATTTTCTTCCATCACCGAAGTCCTGCTGCGTAAAACAAACATTAATATGTTAGTCTTTGCAGCATCCAATCATGGCAAAAAGATACCTTACAAGCATTTTTTCCTATTTAGCTGTAAGTACTGAAGTGGTTTTTTTATATTTCTACGATCAATACCCATCTTTAAATAAGAGAGACCTACCACCCTTCCTGTGAAAGCATTTCAAAGCATGGAGAAAGCAGAAAACTCATGTTATGGAGAGGGGAACTGATGCAAAAAAAATGGGATCAGACAGCATCATGTGAACCCAACAGAAAAGCAGAAACACAGTAGATAAATGTTCTTGTCTTTTTCTTGTCTAACTTAAACCTCAAACCATTTGTACCACAGCAAGAAAGCGCTCTGCTGCCTTACATTTTGAATGGTATTTTACATGACCACATTTGTGTGTTTCTAAATAAAATCTTCTTTGCAGCAGACTGCAGCAGCCAGCTTCACACTTTTTCAAAGGAAAAGCTTCACCTTTGCTGTTCCTTGCCAGTACACCTCATTTAAATTGAGCCTGGCTTTTTGACGACCGCCCAAGGAGGTTTCTCTGCAACGCGAGGAGAACCACTGCACAGAGCCTGCTTGTTCCAAAGTGTGCTGGAGGGGTGCAGAGAAGTGTGTTGGCAGGGGAAAGAATATGCAGTGCAACCCAAGCAAGCAGCCTGACCTCACCGACCACAGTTCTGCTGTCCCCCGGCAGCTTTCACACAGCTGTGATGCGTGCAGGCAGATTGGAAGCACAGCTTGCAGTCCCAGACAGCCCCACCTCAAAAAAGAAAGACAGAAAAGCCCACAGAAAAAGAAAAGGTATGCTCACTGGGTTGTAGCTAACACCAACACTTTCTTCTGCCACTTTTCTGATTTTTTGATAGGCTCTTGCATTTCTCAGTGTGCTGCATACAGCAGGAAGTTATGGTCTGTGTTTAGCCTTATCACAGATAATGAATTTTGCATAGCAAGCCTGTGAGTGAGTCACTTGCTACACCAGATAAAGCTCTGTGCCAGGCACACTCCAAGGATACCTGCAAGTGTCCACAGGGCAAGAGTCTTGAGGCAAGCCCTCCTCTCCGCAGGGCTCTCTGCAGGCCATCTTACACATCTGTGCTTGTTTCTCCTCCCTTACAGGGGGGGTTGTTCCTCTCCATTTCACCTAATGCTGGAGGAGACTGCCCCTTGCCAAATGCATAACATTTCTGGAGGGAGAGGGACACATCTGGAGATGCACTTTGCTCCAGCTGGTGAAGAGAAGAGAATGTACACTGCTCCCAAATTCAGAGTGTTAATGTAACCACGGGCTTCCTGCCTTGGAGCTGGGAGTGCCAGAATATGCTCAACAGTCACCTCTCACTCTTCCTGGCACCTCATTGGGGATGATAGGGGCCCAGGGAAGGATCACTGCAAAACAGCCTGCAAATAGTAATTCATCCATTCACGGTGCAAAGGTGAATTATGTTGCTACAATCTCATGCTAATTTGGATACTCAAAAAATCTCTTTTCATAGAATCACAGAACTGTAGAAACATTTAGGTTGGAAAGTACCACTAGGATAATGTGGTCTAACTGTCAACCCATCCCCACTATGCCCACTAACCCATGTCACTCAATGACTCATCTCCACGGTTCTCGAACATTTCCAGGGATAGTGACTCCACTTTTTCTCTCGGCAGCCTGTCTTTATTATCAAGAAACCCAGGCTGCTACTGTTTCTATTCATCGATTCAATTTTCAGAAATCAGAGAATAATGTCACTCTTATGTTTCACTATATGGGTGAAGAGGGAGGCAACATATGGATGAAGAGGGAAAAATTGTTTTTGGGATGAAAGATGGTAAAATTCACAGGAAGAAAATCAAACACTGAGAACTGGCCTTTGAAATCGGACAGATCTCACTGTACAGATGTTGTTCTGCTGTAGTCTGCTGCACAAGGAACTTTTAAGACTCTCGGGAAACATCAAGCCAATTACAGTCATTTCCTGTTCTCCTTACATACATTACTACATTTTTAGTTATCATCCATATATGCACCACAACGAAAGATAGTTCCTGCCCTAAGGAACTGCCAAATCTAGGCAAGGTTGATGGAAGTATAACGTATTGTGGGTAAGCCACTTACACATATTAAATGTACCCAATTAATCTTTAGGATATACATGCAGAATCAACTGGAAACTTGTGTGCACACAGACACCACATCTCCAAATGAGGTAGAGATAAAACCATGCACACCCGGTGCACACCAGCAATATCTGCTGATCAGTTAGTTCTCTGCTCCTTCAGTCTCTCTCTGCGGGACCCTCAGGCCAGTGTGAAATCTGTACACAGCCTCAAGGCTGTGGAATATCTTGGTAGAGCTCTGATAGTATGATCTTCAGGAGGAGCCCATGCACTCATCCCTTGGCAAGCAGTAAGTGCGGGAATTGTGGCTGAATCCACTTTCCCCCTTTCCGTTGTGGTGGACCTTCTGTGTCTGTAAGAGCCTAAAGAGATGCTTGGATGTTTGCAGAGATTTATCTTCTATTTTCTGTTCTAAACACAGAATTACTCCTTTGAAATACTGAGCCTTAAGCAAGTCCCTCAAGGCTTTAATGAGAATTTTGCCTAGGTAATAAAATGAATAATGGCTTCAGGTTTTGGCCCTAGATGAAAACAGCTGTTCTCTTGTGACAGAAAAGAACACTCCATCAGCATGAAGTATCTCCATGGTCACCAACACAGTAAATCATTTCACAAATCCCTGACCACTGATCTTTCAATTGCGTTGCTGTTTGAAATGGATATGAGGTCCGCATTTAGGTAACCTTCCTAGTGCAACCATTCAGCTCTGTCTTGTTGCAACTAAGTAACTAAGGTTTGTTTTCACGACAAAGCACCTTGGAGTGAGGCAGGAGAGAAGAAGGAGGCGAAGTGCCACCCCAGGGTGCCTAATAAGGGGCAATTCCATAGAGCTTCTGGGCTGCTGTGGGTTTGTCAGCTCAGTAGTGTGACACAGGCAGGGACACACTTGAACTGATGGGAAATACAGCAAGAACAAAACATCACAACTGTCCACGTTACACAGCGCTGTTCCCTCACTCAGATATTCAACAAAGTTCACTGGGTGTTATGACAAAAGACAAAAACATGTCAAAAGGTGTCTTGTATTTACTTCTTTTTTCCACATTACTGAAGGAAAAGACAAGATAAGCCATATTTCTTGTGCTATTCTTGTGTCAGTTAACTTGATTACATTCCTCAAGATCAGTTTTTAAATATTAGTGTCTCCCGTCAGTAAATTAGCCCACTTCTGTGTACAGTCCAGCATTTCAGCCAGAAGGCATTTTGCTGCCCAAGAGAACCAAGCTGGCGTTTAAACATAACGGAAAGAATTTATTTCTCAAAAGTATAAGTATTGTAAAAGTAGCTGCTCTTAAATTGCTCCATTTGTACCCCACCCAAGTGAGGTTCTTCTCTCTTCCTGATGCATTCCATAAAGGAAAAAGTTCTTATCCTGAATGTTCCAAAACCTACAAGCCCACTAGCATCGTGGACCTGAGCCCCATGATGTCTGAGCTTCTTTGTTGAAGGCACATCTGAATGAGAAATCCCCATGTGAGCTGATGGCATGCTTTCTCTATCCCTTCTGAAATCTGCCTTTCTGATATCCATCCCAGGGAATGCTGGAGGGTGGACAGGATGGCTGTACCTCCCCAGCTGGGGTGCTGAGTACCAGGAGCAGTACTGAGGCAGTATAACCGAAGCACAGTCCTGCCGCATCAAAGAACAAGCCCAGTGAGGCCTTTTGAAAGAAAGATGAAAAAATATGCATTCTGTTTTTCTTCTATGCTGTTGACTACAACTTTACACAATAGTGCAAGGAAGGAAGTGGAGAAAGCAGCTTGCCATGCTGCAGCGCACCAACAACTTCCTGCAGCTCCTTAGGCCCATGAGGAGATCTTCTGAAACACACTGTGGCAGGTAAGGACAGCACAGGGTGCATCAATGGCAACACTGACCATACCACAGGGTACTTCTTCATCTCTTTAGGTCAGGCACTATGCAAGCATCACACCTATCAACAAATAAATATGTGATATGTAAGTGGTAAGGCTATGAAACTGGTTGCCCAGAGAGGTGGTAGATGCCCGTCCCTGGAGATACTCAAGGTCAGGCTGGTCAGGGCTCTGAGAAACCTGACTGAGCTGTAGATGTCCCTGCTCATTGCAAGGGAGATGGTCTGGATGACCTTTTAGGATCCCTTTCAACTCAAATGATTCTATGATTGTATGACTACGCTTCCACTGGGTACAAAGCAGCAATAGGCTTTGCTTGGGCAGGTGCCCAAAGTCAGAGGGGAGCTGATACAGGTGGCACTTTCTCCACCTGTGTGCCCCCTCCTTGAGGGGGAAGAAAACAGCAGATCTTGTACAGAGCAATCCCACTGTCACCTGTTGATTCAGGACACATTCCCGTTGTGTAGAACATTTCCTTGCAGCCTCCCCCAAGGCTCCAGAGCTGCAGGATAGCTTCCTGAGGTGGCACTGGGGAGGGAAGGAGAGGAGGGAGGACTGCCAGCACCACCCCCCCCCACTCCCCCTCAGCTGCACTGCGCCTGTTCCCATTTAAAGTTCAAAGCCTTCCACATGGCAGCTGAACGGGACACTTTCCAAAACCTACAGGAGGCTGGGAAGCAGTCCAGTGTAACAAGGAGTATCCTGCCTGAAACAGAAGAAATGGCAAATAAGCATATGTGAAGCGTACCACACAGATCACAACCAGAGCTGCTGTTTTGCAAACAACTTCCTCCTCACTTGCAGGAGCGCGTGCAGCCCGTCTTTGTGAGGTGAGGCTGCTGCAACCCAGAGGCTGACAGCAGCCATCCTCATTCCCCACATTACTCTGTTCCTACCTTGTAATTCCGCTCTCAGCACTACTAACCCTTTTGTCAGCCTCCCCCAATCCCAGACCTAACAAGCTCCTGCAGTGCCTTGCAGATGAGTTTATTTGTGGGATAAGGACTCATCACGTGCAAGACTTTTATAGGACTAAGCCTTGTCGTTCTCCTTGAAGTCCTCGCTACAATTTCTTTCCAGCTAAATCCCTTTCAGTCTAGCTCCTGAGGTTGGATTCAGACTCCATTTCCTGTGGCTTTGGCTTGGCTGGGTTTTGTGCTCTTTTTCTCTTCTTAATCCTTCAGCTTTCTTTTGCTGTATTTTTTCTTTGCTTGTAGCAGTGTTTGTATAACCAGACTTTAGCACAGCACTGAAATGGAAGCAACATCAGTCAGCCTCTGAGCAGGCAGCACTCATCCATGGGCATGGGAAGGGACAGAGAGAACCTCCTCATTTAAACCCACATTTGTACCATTCTCCCACATTCTCCATTTAAACCACAAATGCACCACATGCTCCATTTAAACCCACAAATGCACCACATTTGCAGATAGGACTTTCAATCATTATTTTTAAGAATGGTGAGATCTCAAATGTCATAGAAATTTCAGGCACAGAGTTTGTGAGTCACAGACATACCAAAATCAGTTCCTCTTCATCAGCAAAGAGCCAAAGCCATTGCTACTCTGCACTTCAGTCCGTGCAGCGGCTGTAATAACACCCCGTTCAAAGCAGCATGAGGCTCCTGCTTTGCATACAGCAATGGAAAGCTGAAGGACATTGTGGGCCAGTGCTTCTGGCAGGGCAGCCCATGATAATTAAACAGAAGCAGCAGCTACATATCTGTCGACTCAGGAATGGCATACTTTCCTGGTGAGCTGGCGGCGGCAGGTAATAAAGCTTGCGCACTCACCCTCCCACTACTAACAGAGCTGCTGGGAGCCTCTCCTCCCGGAGGAATGCTGGAGCAGGCACTGAGAGAGGCTATGGTCAGCGCTGGGCAGGCGGTGGCTGCACACTCAGCACGCACCGCGTGTGCAGAGCCATGCATGCTTCCTGGGCAGCTCCTGGGTGCCGCTGGTAGGGAAGGCAAGATCCTTCCCACTCGAGCAGGGAGGAAACCTTTTTGCTTTTAGCAGTGCTTGGACCGTTCGATCTCATTCCTGTTAAAGAGAGATGGTTGCAAACGTGTACAAGCCCCCGCATTTTTTCTCAATATAAAATCCTCCCCACTACTTCACAAGTTCTTAGCCAACATCTCATTGATTACTGCTGCTGTATCTCCTCCTAAACAGATGAAGTATTTCAAGCACTTTGGAGAAAAGTATGTCCCCTCTCTGCACTGACGTGTGCAGAAATGCTTCTCATACTTTCTGGACCTCGCTTATCTTTCCCAAGGGCTGAGGTATGACGATCCTGGGTTATTCTTTTCCCTGGCACTCAGGACCGTGCCTCTGCTTTGCTCAGGAGGTGAGGGAGGTCACAATCTTCCCTGATGCTTTGCTGAAGTTCCAGTATTTCAGACGTATTATGAATTATAATGATACTAATTGCTTTAGAACTGAATCTTATTGCCTTATAATGTTTACAGACTTTATTGCAAATCATCTAAGTGCTCCTTTCAGGCATATTTCCTCTGAAGCAAGGAATACAGTATAAATGCCTAAAATCTCAGGAGCTGCAAGGGATTAGGATGCATGAAAAGATGGTTATTATTTCCTTCAGGAACTTCATGTTTCTGAGATATTCTTAACATCAAGCTCTTGCATCCCTTGGATACTCAAAGCTCCCGAGGGACCTGGGGAAGTTAGAGCCCAGCCAAGTCCACTTATTCCCACAGTTTGCTTTCCACACCTCATTAAAAAAGTAATCCAAGATTTCTCTTCAAAGCTTCAGCAGCCCTGCACATTGAAAAGAAACCTTTGGGAAACAAATCAGCACACACTGTTAAGTGCACACAGTACTCTGAGAAGGATTATTTGACAATACAGAAGAATTTCAGTGCAAAAACTAGAAGAGAAAAAAAATCTCAAAAAACAAAAAACAAAACAAAAAAAAAAAACCACCAGCAGAAGATCTGTTGACTCCAGACAAGATCCCCAGGTCTTCAAAGATTCATCTGTGCTCATAAGTTCTACTTTAGTTAAGCCAGCGCAGTGCAGTAAGCCTTCCTGGCGTGGCAGCAGTTATATTGGTATGTTTCAGTCCAGGTATACAAAGCAAAACAGAGTGTATTGGCATGAACATTTTTTCACTCTGTATGCAGAGTACAGGTTTTGTTGGCAATGCATATATCAACAGCAAAATCATATTCTACATGATAAAACTTCAGTGCCAACTAGATATAAATGCTGACCAAAGTTACGTCTGTGCGAACATGCTTATTTCTTTCCCTTGGAGATCTATTTATCACCACCCCCCTTTGCCTTCCCTGCTGTACCTCCAGGTATCTCCATAGCTCCCGAACCTGTACCCAGGCCTGGATCCAGCCTGGGCTCCTCCAGTCCTCTCACAGTGCCCAAGGATCACACTGACTGGTTTGGTCATTTAAATTCCAGGTTTCCTCCCCATGCACACATCCTCCTCTTTCCTATCAGAGGTGACCTAACCAGCTGCAGTAGGCAGCCAAAGCAAGCCCAGTTATTCCAGCAGGACAGGTGGGTGTTAGGCAACAGAGGTTCTTGCCTATTCCCACATTTTCATAAAGGAAATGAATACAGGGAATTAACACAATTCATGAGAGGTATAATTTTTGTCTTGCCATCAGACTGCCTCACCAGCCTGTTTTCCATTGCAAAGAGGTTTCCCTACGAATTGACCTTATTTTTCCCCACAGACATTTTCTCTCAGGCTCTGGCACATTGCTATTTACCAGGTATTTGAATGTGACTTTGCAGCAACCCCATAGGAGAGCCACCTATACTCAGTGATGTTGTCTCTGCAGACAGAGTAGGTATCAAATTGCTTCAAAGCATTGCTCATGGAACAATCCCAGCTCAGAAAACTCCTTTTCACCCCAAACACCTCCAAGCTTGCATGTCTGCAAGCTGGGGAAGCAAAGGGGTGGCTGTAGTGGGATTTTGATTCCCAATTACTGGGTTTCGGCCATTTACACAAGGAAAACCATAGCTGATGCGAGTGTTAAAAGTAAAGAGACAAGCTTAGAAATCTGCCTTCCTTCATGTTTACTCAGCTTGAGTGAGGACAGACAAGCTGCAAAGAACATGAGTGGAAGTGGGAACTGGAACACTGCATTGATTCAACCATTAGCCTGAATCCTGCAGTGACCCAGATTGCAAAGATTAAAAGTGCCACAATCCTTGAACTAACGAAGTAGGTAAGTGGATAGGGCTTAATAATGGTGTGATACTTAGGTTACAATCTGTGTACAGTTTGCATCAAAAAGAAACTCTTCCTCTGTCTGATGAACTTACTTTTCCTCCTTCCCAGTCTGGCTGGAATTGGCATTTATACCTATGTAGAGTCTTGATCCTCACAGAGAAATGTAACAGTACAGAAATGACTCCATTTTTTATCATCAGCTGTTTTTCTCTTTTTTTT